GTGTTATGATAAAATCGGGTTGTTTGCAAAAAGATTGGGGTGATGAGAAAATTTGTGTTTGCAAAAACCTCTTGATATGTGTCCCGGGCTTATGAAGCCCTTGAAGCTTATGAAGTCAATCAGGAGAAATATGCTTCTGATGAGGATACCCCTATAGATAGTTATCCATGGGGCCAATATGACATCTCTTTACTTCATCTTTATGGAGACTGTGGGCTTATGATACGCTCTTGATGCACCACCTAAGTCATCTCATCAGGAGATATTGGAGGATGAGCAGGCTAGGAATGACCACGCCCGTGACGTGTTATTGGTTTGTCGGTGTATTGTGGATATGGCGAGATAGAACATAAAGGTTGGATTTTTTTTATGAAGGAAATCCTCAGTTGACCCTCTTAGAATCCATTATTGTCGAGGCACATAATGTCTTGCAGTACAGGAAGTAGAGGAGAAACTATGGGGTTAGACATATCCAGTAGTTTGTGTTTGTTTATATTATTTTTTATATTTTTGGAACAAATTATGTATGGTCGATACATTTTGAATTTAATTTAATTAATGCATGAGTTTTTTAATGTATGTATTGTATGTTTGAATCAAGTTATGACACTCTTAAATGATTTTATAATAAAAAAAATAAGTTAAAATATAAGTTGGTCTCAAAAAATATATAAGTTAGGACAATATTGTGGTCTAAAATGCATTCAGGGGGATTTCGAGAAATGCATTTTCAAATTCATTCCAAAAAATTTACATATAAGCATCTTTGGATCAGCTTTTGACAAAAATTGAGTGTGTGGCTAAATTACGAGAGTTGATGTGATATTCTATCTGAAAACCAATAAAGAAATTTTTTTTAGTCTTTAGAGGTGTGGGGCACTTCTTATGAGATAGAATGAGTATATCTCTAAAGTTTTACAATGTTTAAATTGAAGTGGTTTTCTAAAAGGAAGACATAGGCTGAATCAAGATAGTTAGCCTCAACATCTTGATCCTCCACTACACTTCATAATATAATGTTGCTTACAGCTAGTTTAGTTTATTAAGTGAGTAAGTACGTATATTTGTAATTGATACTTTCAGATGTGAAAATTACATTAGAATGAATCTTAAAGATGCATTAGAATGAATCTTAAAGTGGTTGATAACCATGAAAAAGATAGTGATGTTTGTTCACAAAGTTTCAAGGAGATAATGATAAAGAATTTCTCTTAACACCCTTGCTACTTCTCTCAAGTTCTTCGCGAATTTCCCAAAATGTCTTTCATTTTTCGAAGATGTATTTTTGAATGTATCAAAACAAATTTTTTTTAAAATAAACTTCGAAAATGCAAGCCTGAAGTCACCTGAAAGGTGTGTTCGAAGAGGCAACTCCCAACACACATTTTTTTTAATTCAAAAAAATAGTTCAGAGATGCATCTTCAAACTAGGTGAGGTTATTTAAAGGTCGTGCTGGATCTTCCCTCTTCTCTTTCATTTGTCCATTTTCAGCAAAAACACCAAACTCTCTACCTCTTAACACCCATTTTCAGTACACATTGAAGAACAAGTTTTGAAGCTATTTTCTTGTGATTCTTACTCATCCAAACTCATTCTACCTACTGCATTCAACATCAAAGAACTTTACACACACCCCCAACACATTTAAGAGTGAGTTAATCATTTAACTTATTTGATTTTTTATTATTGTATTTGCTCAAATATACTAGTTTTAATGCATTAGATAGCTCAAATAGGTTAGTGTATTAGTTTAGAGACAATGTTTATATGATTTTGATTGGTTTGGTTTGGATGTCCTAGGGCATCTGCAGAAACGTTTTTGCCATTGATGATTGTGAAGCTTTATTTCAGAAATGCGTTTTTGAACTAGTATGTTCCATCTTTTAGGATATGCATTTCTGAACCAGTTCCTTGCTCATAGTTTGGTTTTGTTTTTTTAGGACAATGGCTGATAACCCTGAAAGGTTGAGACTTGAGCGACCCACCCTTACTGCATTTGCTCGTCGCGAGATGGCTCGTCAGCAAGAGCAGGCTAGAGCCCCACCTCCTCAACCTCACAATATGGAGGCGTTGGACTCTAGGAAAAGGAATGGACTATTACGTGGATCGAGATCCCAGAGTGGTGCACTCCATGATAAGGATGCCTCAGTTGAGCCCGAAATCTGTGTTACTCCGATTGTGCCCCTTGAAGACCCATTTCCAATAGGGTCCACCAACACATCTTTACTTGTATACTTTAGAGAGCGTGCATCCTCATATACTCATTATTGGCCATATGATGCCCGGTCTGTCCCTAGTAGAGAGAATGTTCATATATTATCGTACCGTGTGTATATCGATCGTACTCAGAATGACGACGTAAAATGAAGACCATAGAGTGGTCACCGGGTCAAGTTCCATTCAACCTTATTTTCTTATACTCTGGATGGTTGGCATGTAGAACTAACATCATGTGTAGATATCTGCCCGAGCGGTGCATGCGGCAGTTTGGGTAAGTCTAGATTAATCTGAGGGACCCCTTTCAGACTGCTCCCATTAGTGTTGCCTGTAGACACCTGGAGGTCATTATGGAGGATTTTGATAGTCATATGATACCAGAGGAGTATCAGACACAGGCAGTCACATCTGATTGGACTTATGTGGATGGTTACATGACATAGTTCTACAGGGTGTCACATCCTTACATGACACAGGACGGTCTTGGACGTCCACCTATGTCTGCCCATGAAGAGATCCTGGAGAATGCGCGGACACATGATGATCACGTTGTTGACATCTTACCGATCTGTCAGACCATCATGCAGATTATGACTGAGGGCATCGATTCTGGATTGTTTGCGAGAGGTGGCGGGGAAGCAGTACAGCAGACACGTTCTTTTCGAGGCACGTAATGCCTCGGATTACCATAGACAGGGGAGAAGGAGGGTGTTAGAATTAGACATACACAGTAGAGTATGCATTTTATTGTATTTTGTTTAATTTTAATCGACTTTGTGAATAATTTATGTATTTTTATATTCGATTGCTATGATATTCTATTGTATTTTGTTTACATTATTCTATAACATTCGATTTTATTATTCGTTGAACCAAATAATGACAAATTTAATCGAATAGAAATTATTTCGATAGAAATTATTTCGATTGAAATTTCCACAAACTTAAAAAAAGATTATGTTAAAATGATTCAGGCAACAATTCGAAGATGCATCTCCGAATTATGCCACATATGATTCACTTATGCATCTCTGAAACAGTTTTCTTCAAAAAATAGAGATTATTTGCTTTTCTAAAAGCGAAAGAGGACTTCGGAGTTGTAACTCTGAATTTCTCCTTGAGGTTAGTTTAGAGATGCATTTTCGAACTATTTTTTTTAAAATTAATATTTGATGTGTTCGAAGATGCATCTCTTTATTTTTAAATTTTTAAAGATAAAAACCACTTAACAAAGATGAGATGAGAAGTTCTCTAATGATAGTGCCACCTAGAGCATAATCCATAGTTTTTGTTTTGAAATTTGGAAGGACTTCTAAAAACATTTTTAAAAAAACTAATATTTTAAAAAAATTGTATAAAATAATTTAAAAAAATGTATAAAATAATAAAAAGTATTTATAATTAACTGATTTTTTAATTTTTTAAATACTAACTAACAATATAAATTAATCTGAATCCTCAAAATCCCTCCTATAATACAAATTTTTAATTCTCTCAAATTAAGAAATTTTAGATTAGAAATCTCCTAAAACTCTTGATCCTCTTTTTTCCTTCAAACTCCGAAACAAAGTCTTATGAATCGATCATTTGCCACCATTCATCTTCATTTTAAAAAACAAAAATGAAGAAAAAAATTCTTAAAATAGCATTTCGTATTTTCGTTTTGTTTAGTAAAGAAGTATATTAGTGTCAATCAGCTATGGTTGTGTATCGTTGTTAATTTCCCGGTGTAACTTGTAACCTCCTCATGGATGATAGACATCCTATATTTTCGGGTGGAATTCTATGCTCCAATTACCCAATTTTGTGTTTGTTTTAACTATGAAAGAATATAGCTTATATAGCTTATATAGCTTACACACATGCTAGATTACAGGTTGTTTGATGTTTTAAAAAAGATAAAACATAGATGATCATATAATACTTCAATTACACTTCAATCATTTTTAAAAACATTTCAGTGTTCTTCCTTTGCCTCCGCACCAAAACTTAGCTCGCAAATAAATTCTTATTAATTTGACGCATGGCACAAACACTGCATACCATTGCTCCATAGAGGAACTCCCGGTCTAAACTAGTTGGTCAATATTTGAATTCCATGAACCCAAGAGCATTACAAATTACGAAGCCATTAATCACGTAGAAAGTTACTAAAGGAATATGCAAAATCCTTCAACTACAAGGCCTGAAAATATCGAGTTCATTGCAAAGAAACCAACAAGATAGTCCAAAGCATATTTTCCCAAGAAGCAAATAATTCACAACATCTACTATTGTTCATATGAAGACAACTTGGAACCCAATGTGAATAAAAGATTTAGTCGATGCTGAACAAATAAACAGCATATAGACAACACAATTTTCTGTCAATTACACCCCGAAACGACACCGACACGGCAACAATAAATTAAATGTAATTAAAAATGTCGGTGTAGATGTCCGACACGGGCACGCCTTTTTTTAGAGTTTTTTTAGAGGCGTCAGTGCTACAGAGGTGGGAAGGACTAGAAGAAAACATACTGAATGATTTCATATTGAGAGAAATAAAATGAGTGAATCAAGAAACCTATGAAAGTTTATCTAAAAAAAGTGGGAAAAAACCTATCCGAAAAATTAATCAGGTAAAAACCAAGCCAAATGGTAAGGTTAAACCATTGCATTGCATATACAATTTTTCTATACACAGGGCTTGGAACTGAGAAAATGGAAAGTAAATGATAACTAGATTAAAGAATCTGCACATACATACATACATATATGGATTGCAAAGATCTAACACCCCCTAGGGGTTGATTAGGCAACCTAGTACAATTCTTCTCATACACTTCCAGTTGCGGTTCTATGGCGATGATGCGCAATAATATAAGTTGAAAGAAATAGACCATAAATAGAAGATTGGGAAGACAATTAATCAGAAAGATGGAATAATGAATTAATTAATTAATTATCAAAGTGAAAGACATTGTACCCTGTCCGGGAGATTTCTAGGCAATGGAACTTCAGTAACAAGTTTCACGGGAAAAAATCTCTGAGAAGTATCAGAGGATGATGAGGTCTCTGCCCCATCATGCTGTCCCCGTGAATGAAACTTGGCAAATCTATTGATCACAGAAAACCTTTCTAAATCTTGACACTCTACTCTCAAATCCAAAATTGAGGCTCTGCTATCCAATCTGCAATTAACAAGATAAAAAATGGTATAAAATAGGCAAGTAGTGTACAACAAAGTTGTAGTTATCATATAGAGATAAATGAGAACATTGATTCGAAATACAACATAATTATAGTATCAGGCAACCATATTTTAAGGGAAAACATGAAAGACAATTTTTAGCACATGCTTTGCATGGGATACAGGATATACAATCATCGCCGTGTGATAAACTCTTTCAAGGAAATCAAAAAGTACAAAAGGGAATATAACTGAATTAAAAAATTTAATAACTTATTCCAACAAAACCTGTATCTTTTTTTCACTAGCAAATAGCTGACTGAGAGCACTTGAGCCATACTTGAGAATAAAAAATAGAGTAACCAACACAGACAAAAGCTATGTTTCAACAATTTCAATTTGTCAGAACGACAAGTACATGTCAACCTTAAAGATTTTAATGCCAAAGCACCTACTTAATTGCACTCATACAGACAGACGAGACTCTATGAAATTTATTACTTGTAAGCCAGACAATTATCTAAATCCTGGAAAGAAAAAAATAATGGATAGAACATATAAAACTCAACATTTTGATATTACCTTAATATATCATCTTCCAGTTTCCTTGTTCTATCAAAGAAATCCATAACTTTCAAGTTGTAATGATCAACATTGTCAGCTGATGTCCCTTTTTTGGGCAGTCTACAGAAAACACCACACAAACCATTATACAAGTCATTAATAATAATAATAATAATAATAATAATAATAATAATAATAAATAATAATAATAATAATAATAATAATAT